AGCCTTTTTTTTTTTTTTTCCTTTTAAAATCAGGGCTGAATGACCATTCGCTCTGGGCATTTTGTGTGAACTGGGCTGAGTAACGCTTCACATAGTTGCCTGTAGCCCTGAGCTGTGAATTAGGGTGGAATAAAGGATCGCGTGGGCCTTCTGTTTTAACCCTTTAGTACATCACACTAAGCCCAATGAATGCACAGGCAAGAAGGTACACACACTTCCCTCTGTACCCACAAATAGTTCTCTGACCCTGTAAGTATATATTTGTTTTTTCTCTGTAGTACAAGGTAAAGTAACTAATAAGAAAATAACCCCATTAATCAAGGCCGCCTCTCTTACCAGAGTAGGAGTGAGGGCCTGCGCAGGGCCTTAGCCTTGCTCCTCATGAACCCCAGAAGCAGATGAGTTTCTGCAGTTAGAATCTTCAGAACAAACAGCCAGGGAGAGTTTTTCTGAGGATTTCTGGTGTGCTTTTCTAAGCCTTAGTGCACAGAGAGTATTTGTATTGCTTTAAAAAGTTAACATGTATTCTTTTTTTTAAATAATTTTATTTTTTTAAGTTAATTTATTTTCAGATTGGGTAAAGGGCGTCGGGGTGGGGGGTGGCAGGCAAAGAGAGAGAGGAAGGGAGAGACGGAGAGAATCCCAAGCAACCTCCACGCTGTAAGTGCAGAGCCCAGTGCGAAACTTGAACCCACAAACTGAGATCATGACCTGAGCCGAAATCAAGAGTTGGCCACTTGACCAACTGAGCCGCCTAATGTGTTCCTAGCAAAGATTTCTGAAGTGAGCAGAACCGGCCGGGGTAACCACTATTCACTGCTCGTTGTGGGTCCCGACAGACCCTTAACTGGGCGTATGCAGATATACAGAGCTGTATTTAGTTATGTGAGTGGGACTTTACCCTGTAGACTATTCTGTGAATTTCTTTTTTCTACCCCACAATCTGCCACGAACACTATGCTATGCGATATAAGCTCAAATACCTGCGTTTCCCCCCCTCGCTTTGAATTGCTGTATGGTGTTCCAGTGGTATTCCACAGAATGGATCTACTGTGATTTATTTAGTAACTTAATAGACAAGCTTCGATGGTAAACCTATGCTGTGTGATGCAGGTGGCATTTTAGAAGTGAAGGCATGAATCAGGCATGTTAAATTGGTTAATGGGGAGAATTGAGACCGAACATTTAGGGTCCCTATAGTTTGAAGAGTTTGGACTGTGTGGGGCTAGAAGTTTGAGTTGATAATGAATCGGAAGCCACAGGGAGAACCCGCTTCCTTCCGAGCGGTCTGCCTCATGCTGAGGCTTCATAGGCGTGGCTCCAGGTGCCGGCTCTGGGACAGCATGGAAGATGGGAGGGCTTTCTGCTGAGCGCCTGCCAGATCCCATTAAGATTAGCACTGAGTCTGAGCATGACAGCTATGGAGAGGGCAGTGTGTTGGTGCCGAGAACTGGCTGGGACTGTGGACCTTGCTGCAACCTTGGATTTGAGTAGCGAGAAAGCAGCTAGGGAACGCTAGGATAACAAAGCTATAGGTGAAAGCAAAATGTGGCCTTGAAAGGGTACGGTCAGTGAATAGGCACCAGTGGCTTTGCCTGGGTCATGGGGCGGGGTGTGCTCCTGTGGTTCGTGGGAGAGTGAGTTTGGGGTTAGAAGGGAGTTCTAGAGCGGGTCACCGAACAGAGGAGTGGGTGGGCAGTGTCATATCTGTGTGTTTTTTTTAATGTTTATATTATTATTTTTGAGAGAGAGCGAGCCGGGGTGGGGTGGGGGGGAGACAGAGAGAGAAAGGGGCAGAGGATCCGAAGTGGGCTTCGTGCTGTCAGCAGCGAGCGATGTGGGGCTCGAACTCACAAACCATGAGACCATGACCTGAGCCAAAGTCGGCTGCTTAACTGGCTGAGCCACCCAGGCGCCCCCCCTTTTTTTGTCCGGAGAGAGAGAGAGGCGGGCAGCATCCTATCTGGAACACACACACATCCACACAGGTGTGCTGTGAAGCTGCTCTAGCAGCCGCACGGGCAGCTGTGTCTGAGCTTTGGTGCCAGCCTGGCTGCCCCACTAGCCGGTGAGGTAGTGGCTGAGGGTCCTGGAGCCCCTACGAAACCAGATGCCTTGGTTACTGCGAAAAAAGCCCAGGCTTTGGAGTCTGACTAGGCAGGGTTGCAATCCTGGCTTTATCAGCCACTACATGGGTGACATTAGCCAAATTAAATTCCCCAAACGTCAGTTTCCTCATCTGTAAGATGGGATGATGGTAGCTCTGACCTCAGGATTATTGTGATCAAGAAAAGAAGGAACAACTAGCAGGCTGCCTGGCCCCATAATAGATGTTGGAATACACTCCTCTGCCTTTCTTCTTTCCACTTTGTCCCTCTGCTTTCTCAGTCATTACCCACAGAGCTGCAGCTGAGGTTCTAAATTACTCAGGGGCTGTTCTCCACTCTATTCTCTCTTCCCTTTTTGCCACTAGCTACTGTTTCTCATTCCTCAAGCTGGGAAAGCTTCTGGAGAGGCTATTACATGTCTGTGGGTGCAGGCTGCTGTTTGCCCACTGCCTACTGAGCAGCCCAGCATTGGCTTCTGCTAACTTCTGGGGATGGAAACACCGGGGTCCTCTACCTACCAGGTTGACACAGTGAATGAGCCAGTTAGTGCCTCGGGCTTCCTCTGGGACAAGCCTCTGGCCATTAGAGTGCTTTCCAGATCCAGTGATCTCCCTCTTCAACCTGTCACAGTGGTAACAGACCCGTGGTGTTAATGAACGAGGCAGCTCTTGTCCAGGTCTTTGGGGGGCATTGACTCCTGGCCACTTGGTTTGCACAGATCCCTGGTGGGGACCTCTTTTCCACTCCTGGAGAGTGCACAGCCGAGAGCTGATCTGCATATTCCCAGCTCAAGTAGATGGTATCTCTTCCCTTGGAGACCTGTGCTCCTGCCCCCACAAACTTTCAGTGAGGTGCACACGGAGCTGTTTGCTCCTTTAAGAGATGGGCTTTCAGGGGCTCCTGGGTGGCTCAGGCACGGAGCCTGCTTGAGATTCTCTCTCTCTCTCTCTCTCTCTCTCTCTCTCTCTCTCTCTGCACCTCCTCTGGTGCACACACACGCTCTGTCTCTCAAAATAAATAAACTTAAAAAAAAAGAGAGAGATGGGCTTTCAGAAGGCCACTAGGAAACCATCCACTGCTCCTCAACATGTATGTTCAGTGCAGTTATGAGCACTTCGTAATGAAGATGCTGTTGACTACACTTGTGTCACCTACCTGCCACGTGCCAGACCCTGCACTAAGCACTTCACCCGATCTGTCTCCTAAGGTCCCCTCGAGCCCCGATGTCTCACAGGTGGCCGAGCTGACATTTTGGCTCAGAGAGGAACACTGCCAAGCTCCAGGAGGGGCTGGGGTGCAGTGGCTCCTCCTGGAACCAGGGACACAAATCCCACCCCACTTGCTCTCCGTTTCTGATCCTTGCTTCTTTCTGCTGGAAAGCAGATGAGTCTCTGTCACATGTTCTTACTCAAGTCTCACACTTTGACCAGCACTAGGTCTGCCTCTTTGGCCTCACTCCCAGGTCAGAGAATCCCAGGGAGGGCTCTGATCGGCCCCGTTAGGTCCCCTGCCCAGCTCTGAGACCAGAGGACAAGGGACCCTGCTGGGTCTGCCCGTTGGGTGGGCGTGGGGTTAGGAAGATTGGGACAGCTGAAATGCCAGGTGTCCAGCATAGGGTGGTAGGTATCCCTCTTTCCAGATGGGAAAGCCGGGGTTTGGATTTCCAAGGTGACTAATCCTGGGTAGTCTTAGTGGCAGCAGTGGGACCAGAGTCAAGACTGACTCAGAGCCCCTGCTCCTAGTGCCATACCACACTTCTCCCTCCAGGTAGGGGCCCCGGGCCCCCTGTGAGGGCTCTGCTGTAGAGAAGGTGAACACTGTGCTTCAGGTCTTCCCAGATCGTGGGCCCAGAGAAATATAAAATATAAAATAAAGGAGTGAATGGTACAAACTATGGGAAGTGTGGGCTCTGTGAGTGTAGGAAGTGAAGGGTTAACTGGGTGGGGGTGGGGAGGATGCTTGCTGCAAAACAACAGTTGGCTTGAATGTCTTTCCACCTTTGCAAAGCTGAACTAGATGGATTTTCTTTGTTTTTAATCTTCATTTCAGCATCTATGTCATGGGCTTGGTCCTTGAGTGGATCAAGAACAACGGCGGTGCAGCAGCCATGGAGAACCTCACCTCCGTCAAATCACAGATGATTTATGACATCATTGATAATTCGCAAGGATTCTACGTGTAAGTTGATGGACTTTCTCTCACATCTTGCCTCTTGTGGATTTATTTTCTTTAACTAATTAATTAAAAGGTTTCATTTATTTTTGAGAGCACACAAGCGGGGGAGGGGCAGAGAGAGAGGGGAACAGAGGATCCAGAGTGGGCTCTGTGCTGATGGCAGCGAGCCCGATGTGGGGCTCAAACTCATGGAGTCGTGAGACTGTGACCTGAGCTGGAGTCGGACGCCAGACCTACTGAGCCACCCGGGTGCTCCTTGCCTCTTGTGAATTTTCACACGTGTATATGACGTGTGCCTTTGAGAAATGGACACGTTTCCCTTTCTTGATGTTGAAGTGCCAGTGAGCTGGGTGGTCATGGGCCCCAGCAGTTGGAGGCAGGTGGGTTCTCCCCTTGTACAGCCCCACCTGCGGAATCCCAGGCCTAGGGACCTGTTTCCCGGGGGGTGGTGATGTTTCTCACACCAAAGATCTCCCCTGGGGAAGAGTCTCAGTTCTTCCTGGGGCAGACCCCTTCTCCCACTGTCTGCATCCTTGGTACATCCCTTGGGAAAAATCACGCAGATTTGCTGGAAGCGTTCCCCTTTATGTAGGGATTCCACTGGAGGCCCTTGGTATAAACACCTACTCCTGATCCCCTCAGCCGGGTCGCCTACCTTTTTAGAAGTTCACTGCTTCCGTTATTATAGGACAAATATTCCCATCCCAGGCCTGCAGTCTGTGAACGAGGAGACTTCTAGTTAAACATTTTTGTGACTGGGGAGCCTGGGTGGCTTAGTCGGTTGAGCACCGACTTCAGCTCAGGTCATGATCTCACGGTTTGTGGGTTTGAGCCCTGCATCGGGCTCTGTGCTGACAGCTCAGAGCCTGGAGCCTGCTTCAGATTCTGTCTCCCTCTTTCTCTGCCCCTCCCTCACTTGCACTCTGTCTCTCTCTCTCTCCCCCCCCCAAAAAAAAACAAAAAACAAAACAAACAACAAATTTAAAAAACCAAAAAAACATTTTGGTGACCAGAAGATTCATGAATGTGTGTTGACTACTGGACCCACTCCTGTGAGGGACAGAGAAAACGTATGGGCCTTGTATTCGTCTCCTAGAAGTGCTGGAACAAAGATTCACTAACTCGATGGCTTAATGCAACAGAAATCCATTCTCCATGTTCTGGAGGCCTGAGGTGCAAGGTGTCAGGAAGGCTTTGCTCCCCCCAGAGACTCCAGGGAAGAACCATTCTTTGTGGCTCCAGGCATTCCGTGGCCTATGGTGCATCACCCCAGTCTCTGACCTCAACTTTGTTGTGTGTCCTCGCTTCTGGTTGCTGGATTTGGGGCCTACCCAGATAATCCCAGATGCTTTCTGTCAACTAGAGACCGTTAACTTAATTACATCCTCAAAGACCCTTTTTCCAGGGGTTAGGACATGGATCTACCTTTTGGGGGGCCACTATCCAGTCCCCTACCATAGACCTCTCACCAGAATGCTGAATGTGAAGCACCTAGCACAGTGCCTGGCACACAGGGAGCTTAATAGATGGTGTTTTCGTTTGCGTCCACTCCCCCCTTCCAGGTGGCATACAGGTGTAGGAGACTTTATGCTGCGTGTATGTACATGTACACACATACGTGTATGTTTGTGTGTACACATTTGTATGCATATACATAAACACATACTCATTTACCAAGCCTGAGACCTCCTCAGTGACTGTTACTCTTTGGGTTCCATGATAGTAACTGACTGATAGGAACTAGAGAATGTATACTCTTCTTTGAGAATTCAGTGTGCCACGACAGATGGACAAGACGATGCTTTAGGCCTAACTTTTAATACTTCTCCCTGACCACCCATGGGTGGTGGGTGGGGGTGTACTTGTGGAGTAGGTAGGATAAAGCAGCGTGCTACTACTCCCTCTGTCCTTAAAATGCTTTTGGCTTGTTCCTGTGAGTTCTTGGCATGTAGTGACCCTCTAGCCACAGGCCCTGGGGGAGTTGGGTTTGGATGGAAGCCTTAGCCTTTAGGCTTCTCCCCCACATGTGGTCTGGGGAGAGGTGTGCACGTTGTGCTTTCTGTCTACTCTGGTTCTGCACAACAGCCAAGTACAGACTGGGGGCTTGGTAGATGATCCGAGGAGTTCACAGCCAAGGGCTCAGTGATAGTTACTATAAGCTTGGAGCAGTAAGATGATAATGCTTTGCCTGCAGGTGTAGGGGGGGTTTTGAATGAGCTTGATTGCACCTTGGGCATGAGTAGAGTTAGTCAGAGGAGGGCAAAAGTACTTTTAGGAATTTTTAGGAAGGCAGGCCCCAGCCCCGCAAAGGTACTGAGGGGAGAAAGTACATTGTGTTTGGGGAGCTAAGAGTGGGTTGCCTAGAGGGGATGGTTGTGCTGGAATGAGAAGGAAGGTCTGGAAAGGTCTGAAGACACACTTAGTCCACCTGTTTAGTCTTCCACACATCCACCTATCCACCTATCCACACATCTACCCCCCCAAACCTACCCTTCTATCCACCCATCTGTCCACCCACCAACCCATCCATCCATCCATCCATCCATCCATCCATCCCATCATGACCCACATGCCCATCTATCCATCTATCCATCATCCATCCACACACATCCGTCCATCCATCCATCCCATCATGACCCACATGCCCGCTCATCCATCCATCCATCCATCCATCCATCCATCCATCCATCCATCCAGTAAATTTTCCTGAGCACTTCTCTGGGCTAACCTTGTTCTAGGCCCTGGGATACACAGAAGAATAAGGTATCTTTCCTGACCCCCACAGTGCTCAGAACCTGAATGTGAGTGAAAGCACTTGGCTGTTGTGGAGGGGAGACCAAATTTTCTATTAGCTTTTGGCTCCATTTATTTCTAAGGAGATGTGTAGGCATGAAATGAGAAGACAGAAAGAATGATAAAGCCTCTGGAAGAATCCAGAGAATTAGAAGCAAAACAAGGCATAGGAGAGAAACACTGATAAACCCCAGAATTCCTTTTCCCCCCAAGGTTCTTATACTCCAAGCACGCAGCCTGGCATTTCCCAGAAGACAGCTGCTGAAGCCAACATGGCAGGCAGGTTGTCTCCTGAGGAATCAGGTCACTTTCCCACCTAACACTTTTCATTTACTTATGCACAACCTTGACCTGGAATTTTCATCTTTAGAGTAAACCTCTTTCTGGGAACTTCCATCCGCGCTGGGCTGCCTGCCCAGAAAATGTCATCCTGGCGCCTGACATTCTTGTGGGACCCTGTTACTGGAGTCAAGCGGCCTTTTGCTTGCTCCCCGCTCAGTGTTTGCAGTGGGTGCTTACTAGCTCTTCCTGTATTCACTTGGATTTTCAGGAACTTCTTCGCTTGTCTTTTCAGCTATAGACATATGGCCCCCGAGGGAGGTGAGCAATTTTAAAGAAGAATACCAAATAGCCTAGAATTAGACTTTGTCACTTCCCACCACCTCTAGCTCCTTATTTTTGTTCCCCCCTCCTCTTTGGCTTCCCCCAACTCATAAGGCAGCCCATTACTGAATATGGTTCTGGGCAGTTTCTAGGGGGTTGTACCAGCTCTGCCAGTGACCCTGGCATGGACTTCGACACTAGAAAAGTCAGCCTTCGAAGTCCCTGAGTTCATTACATAGTCTAACCATCCACATGGTGCTGGTTGATGCTGACTTGAGCCCATGTGGACAGTGAACCCCTCTTTGCCACTTATTAGCAAATGACCTAACTGCTCCAGACTCTGTCTCCTTATCTGTACATTGGGTGTAATGATGGTATACTTTTTTTTTTAGTTTGTTTATTTTGAGAGAGACAGAGACAGTGCAGTGGGGGAGGGGCAGAGAGAGGGAGAGAGAGAATCCCAAGCAGGCTCCGCACTGTCAGTGCAGAACCTGACACGGGATTCAAACTCTTGAAACCATGAGATCGTGACCTGAGCCCAAACCAAGAGTTGGACACTTAACCAACTGAGTCTCCCAGGTGCCCTAATGGTACATACTTCTTATGACTGTTGTGAGAAGTAAATGAAAATCCATGTGAATAAAGAATATATAACAAGGGTTCAGAAGAAGGGTTCTAGCGTGGGTTACCTTATAGAAAGCCCTGGAAGAAGTACTTGGCACCTAGGGAAAATTCCTTAAGAGTTAGTTCCTGGGGCACCTGCGTGGCTCAGTCAGTTAAGCATCCTATTTCGGCCCAGGTCGTGATCTCACTGTTCATGAGTTTGAGCCCTGTGTTGGGCTCTGTGCTGACAGCTCAGAGCCTGGAGCCTGCTTCGGATTCTGTGTCTCCCTGTTTACCTCTGTCCCTCCTCTGCTTCTGCTCTCTTTCTCTCTCTCTCAAAAGTAAATAAGTAAACATTAGAAAAATAGAAAATAAATTAAAAAATGTTAGTTCCTAATATTATTATTTTGTGTTACTATGGGAAGCCCTTAGAATGGTCCTGACACACAGTGCTCACTATATATTAGATACTAATTTTGATATTATAAAGATGTCCAAGTGAAGGCATCTGTATCCAGACCTGAGGTCCCCTTTCTTGTTACCTTCTTTTGGGGATCAGACCTTAGGAAAGAGGGGAGCATGGATGGGTCTAGTGATAACACTAGCATAGAACAAAGCAGGCAGAGCCATGGTGCTTTAAGGTACACATTATATGACCGCACAGCCCCGTGAAGCAGACAGTAAGCCTGTTTTCCAGAGGCACAGACAGGTGAAGGTGAAGGTGGCGGCTGGGAAGCGGGAGCAAGCCAGGATATGCACTTGAGGATATGCACATTAAGGACCCCAGGGGCGCTGGGGCCGGGGTCCTTAACTACTACACTAGGCAAACTACAAAACTCATAGACTGTGACTCTCTATTCGTAATGCAGGGATCAGTGGAAAACCTTAGAAATGATCAAGGTCAGAATTGTGATTAGTTACAGCTAAATATGTAAATGTCGATTACTTTGCTGTACTCCAGAAATAACAATGAAAAGTGTGATGAAGTAAAAAGATCCCATTTG